TTTAATTATAATTTATTTATTACATAAAATTATTTTATTTAAATCTTATTTAAAAATCAAATTTAAACAACTGCATTTAATTAAAAAATATTATTTAATAAATTAAAATTAATTTATAACTAAATATTCTTAAATATTACAATCAATTATTTAAAAAATGATAAATGAATAAAATTATAATAAAATTAGTGATTTTAATAAACTCGTACTAACAATAACCTCAACTCCTTTTTTTTCCTGTTTCGCTCTTCAGAAAATTTTAGGTTTATGTACCAATTTGGCCCCTAAACATTTTTATTTGATTATACAAAGTCCCTTAAGACTAAGTTGATGGATATTTCTTCGAAGGACAATGCTAAACATAGGGGTAAGTGAATGGAAACCACCTGAGTTGGTTTCAGTAGCATTGATCTGGGTTCCATTATTCACCTTCTATAAGTTATGTGTTTGAATTTTATAAAAAAAATTTTATCTTTTAATTAACACATTACAATTTGTTAAAAAAAATATTTATGGGTGGGTGGGCATAATGCCGCCACCGCCGTGGCCACTGGTGTACCGACGGTACGGCAATTCTTCCACACGGCAGTTGGCAGAATTAAATGGTGAAATGGGATTTCATTTTACGATTAGACCCAGTGGTACGAGAGGTATAAATCAGGCCCGCTACCACAAATACCACATGGGCCATTATTACCGTTCCTTACCGCTAACCCAATTGCGTTTTTACTATTTTGGCCCAATTCCTTAAATTAAACTCTATAAAAAAAATTCAATGGACCTCCAAGCTCCAACCCAGCCCTGTCATTTTTTAAACAGCCGAACTGCTTTATTTACAGCTGGCCTAATTCCTTCTTCTTTTTTTTTGCTATATATTTATTTTGGCCAACATTATCTCTATTATGTTTAATTCATTTTCTTCCCAAAGATGAGTAAAAGAGAAAGAAACATGAGGCACCTGGGTTTTCAAGCCAGTGGTTTAAAGGTGTTCTCGATGTGATTTGGTTTGAATTTTATTATTTTTTAAATTAATTCAATTTAATCGGTTAATAAAAATTTTAAACCAATTCAATCTACTATTATGTAATAACCAAATTAATCCAATTTAAATCGGATCGGTGTGATTCAGTCAGATTGATTAGTTTTTAACATTATTAAATATATAAGATAATATAAAATATTTTAACATCAAATAAAAAGTAGAATTATAAAATAAATTAACATCCAAATCAGTAAAAACATAATAATATGTAAAAATTATAAACAAATTCTTATACTCCTTTATATTTGTAAAAATTGAAAAGTTTCGAAAATTATTCTTGGTTACATCACTAAAGGCACCAAAAATAATAAAAAATAACTTCAAATTTTTAACACAACGTAAATAATTCTTGAAGATTAAAATTCATTTTTTTTTCTAATGCACTAATAATTTAATCACATTTTCTAAATCCTATTAAAAGTGAATAACATTTAACATGAATATTACTAAAATTGATTATAAGCATTCATAATCAAAATTTAAAACTTCTAAACCAAATATCCAAAAATAGTAGAATATTAAGACTAATTTTATTATATAATTTTAAGACTTTTAGAATGATACTTATTTAAAATTTAGTTAGGAGAACCATAAGATTATTTTAAGAAAAAATTAAAAATTTAGGATTTTAAGAGTAAAAGCGCAAACCAGTTATGCGATAATAGAGTTGCAAGTGAATTAGAAATTTAATAATAACTAAGGAATATGAAAATGTTCTATTTTTATTTTTTTTAATTAAATTAATGGAGTTATAATCTTGTAAAATAAGAAAAAGAAAATTTAAAATACTACAAAAAATGTGTTATATTATTTAATTAAATTATCTTCTAACTGGATTTTATTTTGTAATCGGGCAGTTTGGGTAGTTTGAAAGTAAAATCATGAATCAAACCAATTATATTGGTTTTAAAATTTTAGAATTCAAACCAATTCAATTTTATATTGGTTTGGATTGGTTTTTAATTGGATTGGATCAGTTTAGGTTGGATCAATCGGATTGGATCAGATATGAACACCCCTACTCAAAGTCATGTTTAAAATGCACTTTTTTTTTTGCAATAGTTCGAATCCAATCCCTTATAAATTTATTCAAAAAAAAAAAACATAAAAAAATAAAAAAATTCACCTTATTATTAAAAAGTTAAATATTAATTTTGATTTCTTATTTTAAAATTTTATATAAGTTTTATTTTTTTATATTTTTTAATTCTTTCATTAATTAATTTAAATCTATCTAAATATGTACATTTTTAATTAAAAAATATTATCTAGGATATTACTGCAACAACAAAATCGAGTAACTGATTCTAACTCTTGGCATTAAACCTAACATTAATCAATTGACATCAGATCTTTATTCTATTTGAAGGAGAATGCCAATGGGAATAACCAAAAGGAGGAAAACTAGACATTGTGTTGTATCATGAAGACATACCTACTAATGAGGAAATTAAAAAGGCAATATCAAGAAGCTATATAGAAATTAATCAGAATAACGAGAACACTGAATAAATAATCATACAATTCTCCAACGTGCAATAACCATCACTATGATCAAGGTAGCAAAAAACACCAGTCCAGTTGGATCTGCATGGATCACTGCTTTTCGTCCAATTAAGGTTATTGCTTGGATCTTGAAGCTTATCACGAATAGCTCTTAATGCTTTCACTGCAATTCAGGTTAAAAGTTTGTAACCTGTAACTTGAATATTTTCTAGTTTAACATAGAGGCAAAACTGGATCATATAAGAAGAATTCAAATCAAAGCAAAGTCAACCTTCCTGGGGGAAATGTTATCTGTGCGGAAGCAAGAAGTGCTAAGCAACATATAGCTACGGTAGGAATTACACCACAGATTGCTCTTGCCATCTTGATACTCAAATAAAAAACAGAAAACAAAAGCATTCTCGTCAGTATAGTAAAAAAGAAAAAAAAGAAAAAAAAAAAAAAAAAGGGCAGAAGAAGTCCTCATAACCTATGATTTAGAAAAACTTAGGCTACTCAATTATCATACAACAAACAAAAACCATGTCATTCTTTTGATTTTGATGTCCTCCAGAGGAACCACAAGTAATAAAGAGTTTAAAAGCAAAAGAAGTAGTGTCAAGGAAAAGGAAGAACACATGGAGTGATGGATGCAGTGGGAAAACCTAGAAGAAAGATGAAAACACAACCTGATGTGTTCAAGAGAGACTTGAAGCATTATGCACGGAACCAAGAGGGTAACTGGTAGTTGCACTATTATATATGCAATAAGGCAAAACCATATGAAATGTCAGAAAATGGAAGATTAGTCAGTAGTAGTACTAAGGTTTAGTTAAAATAATGCTGTCCCAGCTGTGGATTTTGAAGATTTAGAATTGAGGTTTTTATCTCCTAGGACTTGGTCTCTGAAACTTGGATGCTGGATGGCTGGAGCTTATGTAATGCACCAAAAGTCCACGTCTTTGAATTGCTTTGCTTGTGTTTTCTTTTTCAGCTTGACATGAACCAGAATAATTTTAGTTATTTAGTTCTCTTAATTGTCAGCTGACATGAACTAAAATAATTTCAGTTATTTAGTTCCCGAGTGCAACCAAGGTAGGCTGACTCTGGAGATTGGCCCTATAACCATACTGCGCTGAATGTTTCTCATGTTGTTTACTATCAAAGCCAGAGAAGATTAAGTGAAGTTATCTCATAAGCTGACTTTTAACCATAAAAGAATGACTCATTGTAACCTTTTAACAATAAAAACTCCGACTTGGAGAGAAGGACAAACCCTGACATGAACAAAACAAAATTTCATTCAAGTGCAATCACATTTGAGTATTAATCAATCCTTTTCAACAGGTCAGAAGCAAGGAAAAATTAAAAAATCCAATGTTTGGTTCTGGTTAGTTTGGTGGAGTAATAACTATATAAGCCGAAAATCTAGCCTGGAATTTGTCAACTGATTATGAATGAAAAAACACATGACGTTATAGAAATCTTTCAATCAAATTTACCAATTCAGCTATTAAGCAGACTGAGTCTTTACCAAATATGATAAAGCTAAAAATTTTTATAAATAATAGACAAAATTCAGTTGCCTAGCGGCTGAGCTGACCTTATATTAAAATGACATTTCACAACAAATTTCCTTGAATATGATAAATTCAAGGAGGGAAAGCAGGTTTTCAGTAAAAAAAAATTAGTATTGAAGGCAGTAGAAAATGTCGTCCTAGGTAGTTCTTTAAAATTGTATTAAACTCCGACATGCATTTGCAGAAAATCCAGTGAGTAGAAGTATATGATGCCTAAATGTCAATATCAATTGGTTCCAAATACGTGTTTATGAAAACTTCCCAAGTAAATACCTACTTTGTAATGTTACATGATCCACTTATGGTTCAACCAAGTCTAACTGGCATTGCTGACCAGGTAAATAATACAGTATTGCACAACCATTTCAAACATCTGGGTTGGAGGATATGTAGTGTAGCCTACCCCAAAAGGTTATGAGAAAATTAAGAAAGAGAAATCTATTTGATGAATGTTATCTTTTATTAATGGCAAAACCCAGATCATGCCACCGCTTCTCTTTCATATTTTAATGGCAATACTAACTTATACCGTTTCATGGAACACGTTGTATACTTTAAAGTGATTTATACACAAACATTGCCTGTTGCCTGCAGTCTGGAATCTGTCATAAGGAAATTCTACTGAGCAAACACTTCATCTAGTTCCATATCTCATTGTACATCATCATATACTTTAACGCTAATATACATTTCAAGATAGCAAGACAGTTAATGAAATTGAAGCAGGAACAGTGTCATTATTCATTACACAATACAATACAAGAAATTAAGGTCTGTAACAGAGTTGCACAACAAGCAAACAGTCACATAAGATGAAATTATTTGAAAGGACATTGCAAAATGCAACATAAAAGAGTATTGATCATACAAAGCATTAATCATAGTTCAAGTGGGCTAATGTCTGATGAAATGAAGGTAATAATATCATCACAAATCAAACTGCATGAGATGAATCTCATTTGCTTTTTCTTCCCTGCTCAGCCCAAGAGATTTTGTTTTGACATTGTAAGAACTCCTACAAGGATCACAAGGTTATAAAAGCAATTAATTATATCAACATCGATGACATGATCCCAAAAATTGATTTTAGGTATTTTATGATTTATGCGTACGTGATATAAGAGCAAACAAAAGATCAATGGTCAAGGAGCAGCAGTACGGAATAGGCAGGAGATGAGGTAAATCAAGCAGAGTAACTAGTCGAGAAATGAGCTAAAGATGATTTGTGGTAAGAAAACTTACTTGTGAAGACTAGATTATTCATCTTCAGTTTCAGAAGTGTCTGTTAAGTGCTTTAAAATGTCAGTAAAATCCTCTTCTAGATCCAGGAATGGAAGGAGGATCTCCTTAGCGGAAGGATTGTCCCACACCAGTGATTCCCAGCATTCTTTTGACTTTATGCAGATATTTCTGAGGGAGGGAGGAGAACAGAGCACTCCATCGGGAAGCAGGGGCAGATGTAGAGGGATCCTCTTTAGCTTTGGACATTCAGCTATTCCAATTTCTTCTAGAGAATCACAACCCATTACTCCTCTTGCAGTACAGATGCTCTTCAAATTTGATAAGCCCACCAACAACAATGCCTTCAATTTGGGAAGAATGACAGTAATTGCTTCATTTTCTCCATCTGTCATGAGAGTTTCTTTCTCTTCTTCCACTTCTATTATTTCCTCCATTTTTGCGCAGCCAATAACAAAAATGAACTCCAAGTTCTGGAGACCCTTCAACAACTCAGATGGAAACAGCTTCTTAATTCTTGGACATTTGTATATTAACAACATCTTAAGATGGGAAAAGACAGAAGGCTGTGTTGGTGCACACGTTGTAGATGGAGCTGATGCTGCTTGCCCCTTCACTTTCACAAGTTCACGCAAGTTAGGCAATTGAACAAGCTTTAAAAGGGAAAATCTATCAAAGGGACTGCACTCTGAGGACAGTGAGAACATCTCAAGTATGCACTCCAACTGGTCAAATTGCTTGATTTTAATTGATCTTAAATCTGATAATGCCTTAAATACAGATGCATCGTTTAAGCTTTTCAAGCCGCAGCACTTTTTAATCTTCAAAATCTGAAGGTCATCCGGAGGCAATACAGGGTAATCTTCATTGATTTCCATTCCATTTAAATTTAACATCTTAGAGCAATCATCATCACCGAATTCAAGAGCAAAATCAAAATCAGAATCGGAAGAATCATTACCATCGTCATCAGTTGCTTCCACACTAAGCTCATAGCTAGTAAGCTTTTGACCTTGAAAAGAGCTGACAAAATTGTTGAAGTCTTTTAGGTCATCAAATCCCTTGTGAAGTGAAGGATTAACGGATGGCTTTAACAAGGGAAGGAAGATATCCTTAGCAGAAGGATTGTCCCATAACAGCAATTCCCACCATTCTTCAGACTCTATGCAGATTTCTTGAAGTGAAGAAGGCAGAGAGAGCTCACCGTTGGGAAGCAGGGGCAGATATAAGGGGATCCTATTTAGCATAGGACAGTCATATATTTCAATACTTTGAAGAGAATCACAAACCATTACTCCTCTTGTAGTACAGATGCTCTTCAATTTTGGTAATTCCTTTAAACTCAACTTTCTTAATTTCGGAAGATCTAATCTGATGGTTTCATTGTTTCCGACTGTTGTGATAGTTTCTCTCCCGTCTTCCACTTCTATTATTTCCTTCATTCTTCGGCAACATCTAACATCAATCTCCTCCAAGTTTCGGAGACCTTTCAGCAGCTCAAATGGAAACAGCTTCTTGATTCCTGGACAGTTTCTTATTTTAAAATTTTTAAGGTTGGCAAATATGGAAGAAGGTGTTGGTCTTGGTGCCCGTGATGTCGAGGGAGCCGATCCTGCTTGAGCTTCCACTTTCACAAGTACTTGCAAGTTACGCAAATTATTGAGCCATAGAATTTCAAGCTTATCAAATGAGCTGCAGACTGAGGATGATGAGAATAAGTCAAGCATGCACTCTAACCCTTCACAACCATCGATCTCACAATATCTTAAATCTGTTGCTATATTGAACAAAGAAGTCTCACTTAAGTTTTTCACATCGCTGCACTCTGTAATCTTCAAAAGTTGAAAGTCATTTAGAAGCAATACAGAATAATCTCTTCCAAGTTCCACTCCCCTTAAAGCAATAATCTTTGTGCATTCCACAGCTGCAAGCAAGTCATAGTAATCTGTTTCCAGTACAAATCTCATCTTCCCATCAAAAGTAGCCCTCGGATAATGAGTCAATCCCAAACTAAGCCAGTACCTAGTGAACTTTTGATCCTCATGGAAAGACCTAACAAAATTGTTAAGGACTTGGAGGTCATCAAATTGACCTATAAAAGTCTCCAACACCTTCAGCTTAATCACCTTTTCTGCTTTCCTTACAATAGCAGCAGCCAAAACCATTGCAAGAAACTGGAGATGAGTGAGGTTACAGAGTATTTCCATTGGTAGCTCCGCCAGATTTGGACAACGTAGATCAAGATGTTGGAGATTCACCAACATTTCCAAGCCTTGTGGGACCTCCACAATCCCTGCCTGCTGTAGATCCAACTTCTTCAATGCCTTCAACTTTACCAACGAAGGCATGTATCTTAATCTACGACAAGAATCAAGCTCTAATACAGTGAGATTTCTTAAGATGGAAATGGAATCAGGTAAAGCTTCAATAGCGGTCCCAGAGAGAGTTAGAAACTTGAGGCCAATCATGTGTGCAAAAAAAGAATCTGGAATCTGCCTCAAATCACAGTTCCACGACAAGTCCAAGCCTGAGAGTTTTGGACAGTTTAGAGACATACTAGAAGCAAAATCTGTTATTCTATTTGCTCTGAGCCAAACTTTCTCAAGGTCTTCCGTCCATTCATTTGCTTCTGGTGCCTCTGTTAGCTGCAAACCAGCTTTTGCCATAAATCTAGGGCCAGCAACTTGCAATGCCATATCTCTCATCACATCATGCATCCTCATACCATAATCTGAGTAATGCTCCACTCTCTCTATCAAGCATTTATTTATGAGACTATCTAAAATAACATTGGCTCTGTCACGCATCAATTTTCTAGTCTCTAATTGTTCAATTAGCGCATTGTCAATCCAATCTTCTATTAAATCAGACCTCCAAATGATCCCATCTTTAGGATACAGGGAACAATGAAGGAAACAATTCTGAAGTTCTGCATCATTCAACCGGTCATAACTAAATTTCAACCGTTCAAATATTTTATCATCCCAACCTTTCACCCTCTTTACACGGTTCTTTAATTCAAACAGAGCATATTTCCATGCAGAAATATCATTTGCTCCCCTCATGCTCCTAGCTATTACAACGATAGCTAGAGGTAAACCTGCACACTCTGCCACCACAAGCTTCAAAGTTTCTTCTAAATTAGGAATTTTTAGGAGGACATCATGTCCCACCGTATCCAGGAATAAGTTCAAAGATTCTTTCTCTGGAAATTGTTGCATCCTAATAACTTGCTCACAACCAATATAATTGCACAGCTCAACCGATCTGCTTGTAATAATTACCTTGCACCCATTTTGCTGTGTTGGTTTCGGGATTCCAACATCTTCAAAAGAAAACGTTCCCCAGGCATCATCCAAAATCAAGACAAATCTCACTCTGCTCAAAATCTCTGATAATGTAGCTGCACGCTGCTCCTCAGACACATTTTCTGGAAGGGTTAGTTGCATGTTGTGAGCAATATTAGCTTGCAATTTGACAATACTGATTGGATATGGTACAGTGGCCCAAATCACTTTATTAAATTTTGGCCCATTTAACAAGTCGTTGTGGATGTTCTTCATAAGAGTTGTTTTCCCAATTCCACCAGGCCCACAAACTCCTATCATTCCAACTGCATCACCCATCAAGTATCCCCAGATTTGTTCCGTCACATCAGTCCGACCTCTTGCATCCTCAGTTGGCAATGTCATTCCTCTACCTGGAGGTTGATCAATTGCAATATCATCAGGGAAGCTTCCTTGTTGAAGAATAAGTCCCTTTACTTCTTCAATTTTCTTGTGAACACGTTTTCCAAGAGAGCCACGATGGAGGTATGAAACATTTTGAAAGTTCAGTTCAAGAACTTGAACTTCATTGTTGATGGTTTGTACCTTTTCAATCCACATCATCACTTCTCTCCTCACCACCTTTCTCGGGCAAGCCTCAGCATTTTGTTTTTTTAAATTGTTATCTTCCAGTAGGTTGTTTAGATCTCCCAACACCCTACTCAATTCTTCCACATTTTCCTGAAGTTTTACGTGACATTCCAGATGGCGGCATACCGCAGTCATTAAGGGCTTCAGCAATTCGATGATTGGTCCCAAGAAATCGATGATTGGCCGCAGCTGATCGATGATTGGCCCCAGGCGATCCATTAAGATAGTTCCTGAAATAATGAAATAATTAAGAACTCAATTATTATACCAAAACAAATGCAAGTATGAGGTTAATTATACTTAACGAGGGTCCATAAAGAGTCTAATCTTCGGATTGGGAATTATAAATGATACTACTTTACTTCTGTGTGATTTTTGTGAAGAAAGCTCAAGACATCAGTAATTTTACATTGCTCTCTTCTTGCTCACAAATTGTGGTCAAAATGTTTTTGTTGGTGGGGCATCATGGCTCACGTCCTAGCTGAAAGTTGTATGCGTTTGTGTTAACTTTTGTACATTAAATTAAGAAAAAAGTGTTTTACAACTCGATTTTTCAATTTTTTTATGACTTTTTTAAAATTAATTTTTTAATTAATATTTTTAAAAACTAATTATTAAATGAAAGTTTTGTTTATATAAATTATGTATGTCAAATTTTAAATTAATCTAGTAAACCTAACCTATTCATTAATTATACAAAATTTAATATCATTAAATATATGTTAATAAATAGAGTTTTTATGAAAAAAAGGTTGTAAGTGTTAAATCCATATAAAAAGTAACATACTTAATTTACATATCTAAAATTTTTAATTCAACAGTAAATTTTTAAAAATTATATATAGAAAGTGAATTTTTAAACAAATTATCTAAAAAAATGTTATCATTACCTTAAACCCTCACATTTTATCATTATGTTAGTCTCTAACCACTACATTCACTCTCATTTTCAATTTCTATAATAATAATTTGGTTATTATTATTTTTCCTCTTTTCCTCATCTCTATTATTCTTTTTTAGTCAAAATCAAATTATTTACAAAAATATTATTATTTATATTTAATTTACTTTAAGATCATACTAAAACAATTGTCCCAAGACTAAAAAATGTTTTCCTACAAACGAATTCACTTTCATTATTGTGGTAAAGAGAAACATGAAACTAAAAAAGGAGGTAGTCCATGGTATATTTTTAATTGGGCCTACAATACGCTGTAATTAGGTATTTTTTAAGTATTTTAGTGGTCTTAATTTTTAATTGTTTAAAGATTAGATGTCTTTAAAAAGGTTGGGTGAAACTATGAGGAAATAAGAAATCCTATATCAAATTGACTTCATATCGATTAATATGGTTCTTCCTCAACAAATTCTGGTATAAACTGGCGCCTAAATTGGATACCGGGAATAAATAGATGGGTTGGAAAGCGGATTGATATTCAAAATCAAATAGTTAACTATATGTTTTAATTAAGAGATATACGGGGAAATGAAAGAGAGAGATTTTTGTTTTAATCAAATTATAATATTTTAAAAGTATTATAATTTAATTAGTTAAAAAAAAATTTTCTTCTTTTCATTTCCTTCGTTCCAAATATATTACAGATAATGTACCAAAAAATATATATATATATTACAAATGACCAAAATGTTGCGCGTCGATTGTGCCGCCAAGTAACTGAAATTATTGGACCTTACCATCCTTTTTGAATTTTGAATTTAGATTCCAATTTTCTTTTCAGCGAATCGGCTGGATGTTTGAGATGTTTTCATTGGTTATATTAT